CTATTTCTACCCTTGTAAAGTTCACTAGAACCCCAGTACCCATCTTTCCAGCATCTTCTCCATCATCCCTTACTAGCTGCAACTCAGAACCATCAGTCTCATTTATCCTGACTACCAATCCAGATGGTCCGATATGGTATACTTCTGTATTCTTTTTCTCTGGTGAACCCAGCGGCCTGATTGGTTATATGCTCCTCTACACATATTTGTCGTCCAGTTTTAATCTTCGGTTCCTATGAAGGCGTTTCATAGGCTTCAACGGGTCCAATGGTACCGTCGAAAGTTCATGCTACCTTTTTACTCAGGAATTTCCAAGTGGGTTTCTGTCACCTCAGTTCCTTAGTCTTCTACGCCTGGTGGACTTATCGTGGGTTTGTACCGAAGTCTTATGCAACACCAGTAACATTCCTCTATGTACATGTAACGTTACACTTCACATAGATGCCTTGAGCTCCCAAAGCCGAAGGGACCCAGCCTGGTGTACCTGGGTAACAGCCACATGAGGCCAACTGATCGACAGGAGACAGTTACTGTAATACAGATATAATTTTCAAATTTCATCATAGGTGGGATTTGAACCTTAGACCTGCCACTTAGAGGATGACAACCCAACCACTACACTAGGATCGCCATCCTCTGTTATGATTTTTTTAAAAAATATTTAATATATATTATTGATAATAATTAGAGATAAAACTTAAAGAAATTAAAACTTTATTAATTCCTTATTGTGCAATATTTAGTAAAGTTTAACAATATAATATACAATTACATGAAGTACTTTATAGATTTGAAAATATAATTATGATGTTTAAAGAATTAAATGATCAAATTTAGCTACAAAACTTCTTATAAAGCTTGAGCAATAAAAGAATAAATAAACACAACTATTATTATTATTAGCATTTTTATTTCATTTTAGTTATTATAATTCAAAAAAATTTAAGCTACATCTAATTTATTATTTTTGTATTTAGCAAAATAGGTTTTATATTATTAATATATATAGTTTCTTAAAGAATTAAAAGCTTTACTAGCTAAGCTTGAAAATTATTATATAAAAAAGTATTTTTATATTAACTTAGTTGTTAAACAATTCAATATCAATATATTAGATTATCAGAATTTTACAAAAGAATATTTCAAAGAGTTATATTGTATTGCACAATGTATTTTTTTAATTACAGTATTAACAGCATTATTAAAATATCTTTTTTCAACAATGAGATAGTATTATTCAAAATAAAGAAATAGACTAAATGTATATATGCTATCTTTTATTTAATATTTATACAAAATTCTAATATATATTTATAAACATATTTTAGATTAATAAAGTATTAGACTTAACTTAGATTTAAGCAAATATACAATGTAAACAATAACTTTGTAATTTAGACAATCATATAAAACAATATCAACAAACTATCTTATACTTCTACTAGTACTAACTTAGATAATACAAAATCTGAAATAAATAATCTAAATAATTCTATTTTGTTAGATAGTGATGATGCAACTACAGATTCAGAAACAAGCAATAATTCATTAAATAATCAACATATACAGTCAGCATCTTTAGTTATTAAATAGAAAAAACTAGTAGCAGAGTAGATTGAGTTAATAGAAGATGAATATCAAGAACAAGAAACTGAAACTATAAATTTTGTTAATAATTTTGATATTTCTGTAGAAACAGTTAATTATTTGCAACATCCAGCTATTGATCCACAAGCTAAATAAGAATTACAAAATATTTTCACAGATACTTTAGATTTACCAAATTATATAGATGGTTTTATTGTTAGTAAAAATTAAAATGCTTGTAATTAGTAATAATATCTATTTTTTAGCTTTGTTATAAAAATAAAATTATACAAAATGATGACTATAGAAGACTGCAACTTCTTTGCTGATACTTTAACTCAACAACTTTTATTACATAAAACTTCCATCAACAGTACTACTGATAAAAGTATTGAAACTACTTGGCACAAAATCCAATGCTTCATAATCTATACAGCTACTTATATAATCTCTAACAAAATCTCTTGCAAACAAAGTCACAACTACCAGTATTCATCTTATAGCACCCTACTACATCTCTCTCTTAAAAAACTTGGACATATTATTAAACTTGTTAAAAAACTTACCCAATCTTCTAACATCTTTAATATCAACCAAAACATCTTCCAAATTAATAAACAGTCACAATGTAACCTTCATTTACTTACCTCTATCAACTCCTCCTGTATTCAACCATGGCTTCAACATGCCCACTCTATTTGGAAACAACTCTACTATGCTCATCATCTTAAAAACTCTCTTCTATTCCTATAACAAATCAATAAAGCTATTGACAAAAGATGTGTTACTCTAACTACACATCCTACTCAGGCCATTAACAGCATTCTCAATCACTATCATCAACCTATTCATCTCTTAAATATAAAATTGCCAAACTAACTTATTACTGATCTATTACTTATTAAACAACATGTTCAATCTTATTTTCATAATTGAACTACACTCAGACCTTTAAATAAAACTCTCTTTAATAACTTCTGTAAACAACAATACCTTTCACTCTCTTATATTAATCCAAATTGGTATCATTCTCTTAACTCTCCTATTATTAATAAAGAACTTCTTCAAACTCTCTCACAACTACCTAATAACAAAGCCTGTAGTCCTACAGACATAAGTTATGAAATGCTTAAACACATTAGTTCCCAATGCACTACTGCTATTATTGCTTTCTTTAATGCTATCTTCTTGATAACAGAATTCTTAAACAATAGAAACATAGCAGAATTTATCCTATTCCTAAACATAACACCTTTGATGGTAACCTTAATCTTACATTACCTATTAGTCTGATTGAATACATTCAAAACTTTGCACTAAAATTCTTTCAAACTAACTTAGCTTTGTATTTTTCTCAAACTCTATTCTCTCACCTTTTAACTATATCATATTTCCTAATAATAGTACTTTAATTTCTATTTATATTCTTAATAATCTTATTGAAGATGTTACCTGTAATCACAAAGATATTTAGTTACTCTTACAAGATATAAGCAAAGCATATGATTCTGTAAACTTTGCTTTTTTTAAACACTCACTCTCTCGTCTCTCACTTTCTTTATCCATTATTAACATTTTTACTAATCTTATTACTAATTGTCACAACCAAGTTATTACCAATCTTAGTCTTACTCTCTCTTATCTAGTTCACAATGATATTGATCAAGGTAAAACAATTACACCCTTATTATGGTGCATTTACAATGACACACTTATTTCACACATATACTCAAAAATCCTTGGGTATACTCTACAATATACTCAGACCACTAATCTAAAACTCCAAACAATTCATTCATTACAAAAACAATGCTTTGTTCTAGTATATATGGATGATACTCTTTGGGTCACTTCTTCACAAACTGAGTTATCTCACATATTAGCTATAGCTAAATCATTTTACACTATAGCAAACATTCAAGTTAATTCCTCAAAATCTATTCTGGTTACTAACAACCCTCCATCTCACTATACTTCTATCTCTTATAATAACACCTACTTCCATTTTATTTTTTCAAACAATCCTTTAAATTTTTAGATTGCTGTTTTACTTTAGATAACAGACAATCTAAACAAACAAAATTAATTATTTCTAAATCCTCCTAACTTATCCAAATTGCAAAAACAAAATGTATAACTAACTCACATGCCTGCTATATTATTAATACAGTTATTATCTCTACTATTGAATACTGCTTACATAATATTGTTATTAACCAACCTACTTGTAACAAAAGCTTTACTTAACACATTGGTCTTGTTAAGCTTAAAGCTAAACTTTGTTATACAATACCATCTAGTACTCTATTACATTCTCATATTTACAACATTAAATATATCTGGAATATCCAACTACAACACTATATTCCCAATCTTCTCAAACAGCTTAACAATTCTGACCTACTAGACACATCTACTTGTATACATATTCAACAACTCCAAAACAACCTCTGGTCTTTTACTAACATTTTTCTTTATTCTAAGCCAACCATTGATGGATCCAATTGATTAACTACAAACTTTAAAATAATACAACTTATTAAACATATAGGCTGGACTTTTTCAACTAGCCCAATCTATAACATCTCTTATACTCTCAATAACAGAACTATATCTCTTAAATCTTTTCTTTTCTCTTATCCAAAATACCCCATTTTCAAAAAACAACTTAGACATAAACTTTTTTTTTTGGACCAACTTACTACTCATGTCAACTTATATCTTTTGCACTGGCAATATATTTCATCTAGACTTAACAAAATTCCAAAAGGTGTTATACTACAATGGTTTACTATTCTTGAGAACATCACTACAAGTCACTTCTATCAACAAACTTTATATGATCATTATAATTTACCTTCCATAAACTACTTCTGCTACTCTACTGGTCACTTCACTTCTAACACTAAACCTTGGTTACTTACTGTTCTTGATAACCAAATAATTGTTGGCAAGGCCAGAAGGCATAATACATTTACTGGCCTTACTCTTATCAACTACTAGCACTGCTTATTTCAGTCTCAGTTCTTTAATTTCTATCCTACTCCTCTTTCTACTATCATATTATATACTGGATATTACCTTAATTCAAATACAATTGCTAACAAATGTACTATTTTTATCTCTACTAACTTGGTTACTAAACTGCTTTGTCACATCAATTCTGACAAAACTCTCAACCTTTATGCAAACTTTCTTTATATTGCATACTTTGTTGTTCTTCAACATCCTTTATATATTTCATCTCCTCCTTTACTCACAATTAATTTACAACAACTACCACCTATTTTTGAAACATGCCAACTTGTTAACAATCTTCAGACTATTACTAACTCAAATCACAATCTATCATCTATTTCATTTTATACCAATGGTTCTGTTATTGATCATGATACCTCACAATACTCTATGGGCATAAATTGGGTTTAAGTTGATAACTCTACAACTATTAATTCATTCCAGGCACAAGTTAAACTATGGCCATGCTCCTTCAAAGCTAAAATTCTTGCTATTCTCTCAGCAATTATTACTGCCCCTAGATATTGCTCTGTTTATATATTTACTGACTTACAATCAGTAATATCTAAATACTACAACATCTGCCAATCAACATCTAATCTTTTCCATACTCATACTTTATATTTCTCTATTTGGCAAACACTTATTAACTTTATCAAGTCTTACGAAATTCAACTTACTTTTCATAAAGTTACTATACACTAAGATGATCTATTTAACAACCTTGCTGATCAACTTGCTTGCAATCATCAAATATTACCTTACCTAACATTCTTAACTAATAATCCTTATAACCTCAACTATACTCCTTTTATTAATGAATTTCCTATCGAAATTCCTATTAGACACTCTATTTATACTATCTGTTAAGCTTATATTATAACACTTTGAACATCTCAATATTATTTTCAACAATGGTCTATTATTGCATTTGACATTAACTAGGAAGCTACATGGCTTTACATTAACAACAATCAAAAAATCTCTAATTTTGCTCACAGCTTTTACTCATCTATTCTGAAAACTTTTCAAGTTAAAATTCTTACTAATAAACATTCTGTTTCTTATACTCTTTATAAACATAAATCTTCATTTTCTTCCTCTTGTCATTAATGCAACCAAATCAGCTCTTTATTTCATTAGGTTATCTGCCTATCAACTCAAACAATTTATCACTTAATCTTTAATTCTCTTAATAGTATCTTAAATACAACTAATCTTGATATATCTGCCAATCTTGTTTCTGATTTACATATTGAAATTCTCACACTTAACAGTTTCAAACTGCATAACTCTCCACATATATCTTCACTTATTTCTATTCTATCTGGTTTAGTTCCTATTGATCATATTTCTACTATCCGCAATTCTTCTATTTCTTATCATACTGCTACTATTCTTTCTATCAAACTTCTTTTTCACTTAAACCAACAAATATATAAACAAATATGGATTCCATACTGTATTTCACATTCTGCTCAGTTCCAAACCACAGTTTCTATTAACTTAACTCATAATCACTCTTCTAACCTACCTTTACCTTTTATTTCAATACTACAAATTATTACTAAAATTGATTTTTGGACTATCTAATGGATTAAATACTATACTTTTCTTTCTTATATTATTACTCAAACCCAAATCTAGGTGAGCTTTGGCCACTCTTGTAGGTTTAGGTTACAGATTATATGTTTGAGTCTTTATTCTTCATATATAATTTAAAAGCAAGCTTTTCTTTATA